GATATGCACATGCTTTCCCCCATTTCTTGCCCTATAAAAATCCACCAAGATCGGATAACATTCATTCGTTATTGAATTGCTACCACATGCCAATATTGACAAGAATCAGCGAAACCAAGCCCTTTGACAATTGCAAGCTGGACAAACTGCCCGGCAAGTAGCCAATGCATTTCAAGTCCACACTACAACACCACAGATGACCGACCACGTTGTGGAAGAGCGAGTGTCACCACCCGACGTCAGGATTGTCAGATTGTGCGACAGCATCTTCAAGGTCGCTTTTTTACTGCTGCGGAAACTGCTCGACAGACAATGGGGACACACCAGCGACACATTAGTGCGGACACCGTGCGTCGACGATTGACGAGCAGACATCTCCACTGTCACAGGCAACACCGAGGACCCATTCTGACATAACGTCATCGCCGGGACCGTCTGCAGTGGACAACACAGCACCATCATTGGCGCAACCAGCAGTGGGGAAGAGTCCTCTTTCCAGACAAGAGCCGTTACTGTATCTCAACAGCAGATAGCAGAGAGAGAGAGTCTGGCGACGCCGTGGGGAACGATATTTGGATTTTTGTGTTGTTGAGAGAGATTCAAAGACGGCTAAATGACGTCCGACCAAGGCCGACAACTGCAGCTTATTGCGTCAGGCGTTCCTCAGAGTGTGGGCTCAAGTGCCTATGGCCTTCATCAATCGCCTCATCCATTCCATGTATCGACGTTGCACGGCAGTCATCAATGCACATGGCGGACACACGAGATACTGACTTGTGATACCATTTTCTCAGATACTAGTGTTGTGTTTCACTATAAGAACATTTGACACTTTAATTTCAACCTTGATAATCAGTTTTGCCAAGTTTCATCCTTTTTATATCTCTCAAAGTATGTTGACAGTGTTTGGACAAATCAGACTTCTCATATATCTATCCACGGTGACGTTTCTTTTGCGGTTCAGTATATTTATAGTAAGTAGTGGTACAGAATTGAAATTGTCATCGTTTGGCAATATTTGGCAATACGTTTGACCTGATTTTGAGCATGCTCTTAGATGTCTCGCAAATTGGGTTACGTTATTTCGTGATGTCATTTGTAGAAGGGGCGGTTGGGTAGCCTAGTGGCTAAAGCGTTCGCTCGTCACGCAAAAGGCACGGGTTCGTTTCCGGACAGGGGTACAATGTGTGAAGCCTATTTCTGGTGTCCCCCGCCGTGATATTGCTGGAATATTGCTAAAAGCTTTGTAAAACCATACTCACTCACTCACTCACTCATTGGTAGAAAGCATAAACTGAAAAAGAGGAAACGGAATTGGAATCAACCCATTCTTTCACAGCCAGCTGCCATACGCCTTTCTCACGCGACCCGCTACAAAAATCAAAACGATGCTCGGTTTACACTTGCAAAAATATGGCGCAACATTGCTGCTGGAATGATGGCCGTAAAGACAAAATGCTGTCCTTCCACAATATTATTATAAGCTCGGTAATATTGGATTGTCAACAGCCGTAGCGATGAGAGACCGTTTTTCAAGGTGTGTTAAACTTTTTCTTAGTCATGAAATCACATGTAAACAGGTGAAAAACGACATCTGTGTTCAACTGACCCATCACCTACTAAAGGCGTCTCTTCGCTGGTCATTGATGACCTGGGCTTAGATACAAAGTCAGGAATTAGAAGTGGTTTCTCTACCTCGTCCCGGTAGTGACGCTTTCTCCGGTTGTCCCATCTCTAACGATGTGGTTTGATCCAGGAAGTCTTTGAGGTGTACATCTGAGAAGCTGTTTAAAAGGTCATTCAACTGTTTTTATTGTGACAGGCGATGGCAGCGACTGTACTGGTTGCGGCGTTTTCAACGGTTTTATTGGGATGTTCTGCTGACCTACGGGCAATCTTAGTTCAGTAATGTAATCTTGTGACATTTTTCACAACGCAACTGGACTATCAATATCTTTGTTATTTAAAATCTGTACGGTCTTACTGTCACTGCACCACTGTCGTAAGTCGAACTGAACCTTTTATCATTTACGGACATTCTTCTTTGAGTGTTTTTAAACAAGTAAATACCCAAATTCTGAATAATGTGTAGTTTGCATGTTACGTTTGTTGCCTGTAATGTGTCTCTTGCAACACTATAAACAAATACCGCTTACAGATTCATCAGCAATTTGACAGTCTGGGCTGTCTCCCTTTGACTGTTAAATATGTCGACACCTAATACAGAATAAATAAATGAAAATAAGCTAGGTTTTATTTCTTAAATCATTTTCTTGATTTTGTATGGAATCAGAACGATGTCAACAGCCAACCACTGGAGCAATGAGGAATAAATGTTAACCATGTATTCCTCATTGCTCAAGTCATTGGCTATGTAGGTTTGCATGACACAAAGAGTACTAGGGCCCAAGTTGTCAACAACATTATTCGGTTCTTATGAACAGCAATGCCACAATAAGTTGCAGTCACACAATTCCTATTTGCTGTTCTATCGGTTGCTATAAATTTTATTTTATTTTATTTCAGAATGTTAAAGAGTCATACCTTCGGCGCTCTTCCCTAGACTTACAATTACTGAAATGTGTCACTTCTTGTGCTGCCATGTTCACTCGCGTACTTGTCTTTCTTTGCTCATGTTGCATTTACCCTTCTGCGACTGGACCGCCTCTGTAGTATTGTGGTAGAGCGTTCGCCTGGGGAGCGGAAGGTCCGGGGTTCGATCCCCGCCCGCGTTACACCAAAATACGTTGAAAGGTGGTACTTGTTGTAACCCTGTCTGGCGCTCGGCATTCACGGGCTAAAGTAAGGACTGGTTGGCTAAGCGTGAGTATACTGTGTGTGAGGGGGTATTCATGTTAAACTGCGGCATGGTATCGCAGTGTTCTAGCACTATAAATCGGTATTAGACCGGTCTAGTAAACGCAGCCACACCCATCCACGTTCATGAACGTCGCTATATAAGTGCAAAAATCTTGGACTCGACATTTAAACCCATTTCACCTCACCTACTGCGTCTGATCACTTGGGCAGATATTTCTGAAGCAGTGTTTGCGCTGTTCACGGCCTTCATTCGACAAGATTTTTCTGGAGTCCGATCGGCAGGATCTTGGGGCAGTGACGTAGTTCCACATGTCTAGGTGTGAAACATTGTCATAATTATATCCCCAAAGTCAATCCCAAACGAGTTAATCTCCTTAAGAAATTACCTTTGAACTGGCGACCTGCTCTACAAGCACGGTAACATTGTTTTGCTTTGGTGAGCATTATAATGGGAGAAGACGACAGCTCTGTTTAACAACAACCAATGTATTTAACATCTTGAATTGATAACAAGGTCGTTTCCCGTAAAATGCAGGGCTACTCGCATTAATTTTATAACACATTTTAGACAAAGTTGTTTGTTGCAGAATGGTGGGGTTTGTACGAGATGGGTTTACTCTTAACATCGTAGGATCGGGTTTTGAAGCCCATTTCTGGAGTTCCCCGCCGTGACATTGAGGGAATATTACTAAACTATGCTCACAAACTCTCTGATATGTTTCAATGCATTCCGTTGAATGAGTCATGGCATACATGTATGTCGTTTTATCTTCTCTTGCGCTGGGTATTTATACGTGTTTGAATCATTCGGTTCAGATATTGCTTTTAACTATTGTCCAAACGCATTTTTATCGTGAACTGTCCTTTGGACATCTGTGCGAGTTTTAACAATGTGTACAGCATTATATTGTCACATCAAATTCTTAATGTTTGTGATTTAATTACAGTCACACAAGCTCAGGATTCCTCTGCAACGTCATATCCAATACACCGTGTTCGTTAACGTGTGTCACCGTACACCTATTACGTAGGTGTACACTGGCGGTCATTCTACCAGCCATACTGTGACAGAAAATATCATGTGAATAAGTTGTGTTTAGAAGTGAAAATATATGTACAGTTATTGTGTTAAATCTATTATCCATTACCCCAATTCATGTATGTAAAATAAAACAAAGACCCTTATGTCAGTCAGGATTTGTTGCTCACTTTTATTTCTACGCATTATAATTACTGGTAATGAGTTTTTGACGGGTGCCACCTGTGGAGTAAAATACACTCACACTTTCGAGAACACCTGGTGTCATCATTATTTGAAGGTGATTCATAAACACATGCTTATGATGTAGTTTGAATCGTATAATGGACTCTCCTGTTAGCAGATGTTTCTTCAATGAGGGAAAGGATTTTGTCGCTCTCGGTTTCAAATGTGTCTCAATTTATTTTACATTCAGAATGACCGCCTCCATGGTCTAGTGCATAGAGTATTAGTTTGGAGAGTGGAAGCTTGGTGGCTCTATCCCTGGCTGCGTCGGACCCGTGAAGATTCCGGGATGGATTAGGGCTTCAGCAACCCATGCTTGCCGTAAAAGGTGACTATGCTTGTCGTGAAAGGCGACTAACGGGATCGGGTGGTCAGGTTCGCTGACTTGGTTGATGCATGTCATCGATCCCAATTGCGTGGATCGATGCTCATGATATTAATCACTGGATTTTCTGGTCCAGACTCGATTATTTACAGACCGTCGTCATATAGCTGTAATATTGCTGAATGCGGCGTTAAACAACAACCAACCAACCAACCTGGCTGCGTCATACCAGAAGAGGTTAAATAATGAACAACAAGCTCAACAAGTACTTGTGTCCTGGCTGGGTATCCATGTTAAACTGCGGCATGGAAACTCAGTGGGCCAGCACTATGAGACTAGCATTTGTCCGGACTGATACAAGCACACACGCACCCACACACACATATACACATGCATGCGTATCGCAGTAGAAGTGCAAACATTATGAACGCTACAGCAAGCCCTATTTCACAACTTCAAATTTCTTTCTAGTTTACACTACAGTATGTGTTTACAACATTCTCTCAATGTCGGCTCTATTAGTAACAAACAGGGACATATATTTATTCTTATAAAGCTTTGAATCAAAATATGTAGACATCAGAACTAGGGTATCAGAAGAGAGATTTTATTGCTCATTTTGTATTGCTGCACATTAGAATGAAGGTTCTGTCATTGAGCGCATTATCATCTCCGCGTCATATCATTGCTTGTAATGGTATTGTACTTCTCGCCTTTTCATCGACAACTCTGGTGGACCCAAGCTCAAACCCGACAGCGGCTGATAATGTAATCCTGACCTTGTCAGCCTTGTCAACTTTTTACTTCTTACTGTGTGTTATGTAAAAATGAAAGCATAGTTATATGTCATGTATCATCGGAAGTATTTACCCAACACAATCATGTTACTTGAAGTACAAAATATGAAAAAATATGCAGAAGGCAGGCTAGTTTGGTGTATGTCAATGACGGGAAATTGTTGCTTTGTATATGTAGGCATAATGGCAAGACAATACATGACATTAACAAAGATAATAAATGGTATATTTAGGGTGAGGCACAATTTCTAACGAGGTGCTTATGACTTAATGGACAGATTAATTAGTTTGTCATCAGGGGTACTGAATTAGCATAACCGATGTGAACACGTTTGGACGGGTCACAGTGTGACACTTACACTATTTTCTTAAATTATTTCCTACTTTTGATTTATTTGCATTGAATGCTATACTATGATTAGGTTTGTGTCAACTTTAATCATTCTGTTATATTATATTGCTGTGAGTTCTTGTCAATCAACGAATTGTTACCTACACCTGACTGTATAATAATGTAAATCAAAAGGAAGGCACTTCAATGTTTTGTGCCCCACCCAACATCATTATTCATGCGTGACCACGTTTTGGTAACTGTATACAAATGTACGTCCTGTAGATATTCAGGTGGCCTGGTGATCCGAAGGGATTTGAGCTGTGCATGTATGTCAGATCATCGTTGTTTTGATGACGAGCAGATATCCTGCTCATTGTGTTAATGTTGCTCTGTTGTTTATATAATGTGTATTTAATGTTCACGGACAGTGATGCCGATGTTGTCCTTCATTTGCGGCTGGAGTTAATTCCCCTGAGACAGCCTAGCGTCAGACGCAAATATCGAGACCATGAGATAGAGTTAAGGGATAAATTAAGATTTACATAAAGCATAAACGTTATTTTTATGGGCAGTTAATTATCGAACTTTGAGACCATCAGATAGCGTCAAGGGATAGATTAAGATTCACGTGAAGCTTTAACGTTAAATTCTTTGGCTTCGACTGGCTTCCAGCAGTAAACTTATCGAACTGTGACCAATAAGTTGAAGGATTAAAAATGTAGTCGGCTAGTGTTTAGAATCAGCATTACTATTGATAAAATAAGCGAAGAATGGAATTGCCGCAGCTAGGAGTAGTACCCTTTGCTGGAATAGAGAAAGTGCGAGTCATATGATTGAGCATACTAGTTAAAGAAGGACTAGATAGATGATTGGGAATACATGTAGAGGAAGAGCTAGACAGTGGATGGGAATACCGGGAGAGAAAGGGGTTGACAGATGATTGGGAATACTTGTTCAGGAAGGGTTAGACAGGTGATTGGTAGGAGTGAACGGTTAATAAGGCAACTTTTTACTTTCGCTTACCTTCACGTATCAACATGGGACTTGACCAAGATTGTGCATCGACACATTCTGCAGTCAACAGAGTGACTGAAATGGAACAGAATCAAGCATAAAAGCAATACTAAATTTGGTGTCTAATGTAAGCGCATGTGTAATAGGCATTACAGTTAGCCACAGCCTATCACATCCCAAACACACATCAGCAAGTGTCCAAGAATTTATCTTTCAACATGAAGTAAACCAGAATTCTAAATGTTGATCATTGATGGAGAGTCTGGTGCTTTTCCACTCAGCTAAGTGAAATTGAATCACATGGAATACATAAAAGTGTAAACTAATGCATTACGATTCTACGAGTTTATATCCAATCTAATTCAGATTAAAGTCGTTAATGTGTTCTGATACGGGTGTTGTTAATTTGAGTTAAATTAAGCAAGAAAATAAGATTTAAGCTCAATTAAAATTCACGTTTCACATCTCTGGCCAAGTTGTACATACCACAAGATATTAACATGTGGTTTTTGCTGTTGGCCTGCCTGGTGCGTGGCATTTAGATGGTATAGCAAAGACTCTATATATTGTATGTGTCTGGGTGGGGTATCAATAACTCAGTAGGCTAGCACTGAAATGGTCCGGACTATTATAAGTAGCCACACGCACGTGTTTGCACGTTGCTATTTAAAGTGAAAAAATCATAAACGCAACGTCAAACCCCAGTTCTTCTCACACCACAAACGATGTGTGACAATGGCCAACATGCATGAAAATACCAACAAGAAGGGCATGCGCAGTATATGTGTTTATTTTCTACAAAAACATGCTGTAGTTTTCGTACTCTCATATAGAGAATACCTATCTGTATCTACCAAAGGTGGTATATATCCTTTTCAGCCTTTGTGGTAATGATCAAAAGTGTGCAAACAGTACCAACGTGGACAATACCGAGCCAATGCTTTACCTAATCCTCTAAACTAACATACTTCAATGCTCTGCAACCTGTAGATTTGAAAATGCGAAATTTAATTGTGTACCGAATGCAAAATTATTGTTACTTCGATTATCACTCGTTTAAGTGTGTTTCAAAACCACACAGACCAAAGCACATGCATGTACATTGTACACTGATACCCATATACTAGGCACTACACTGTGGAGTATAAACTCAAGTATAAGTACTTACCCAGAACCATAATAAGCAGCAGTTTCATGATCGTTAGCGAGATGTCCCAAACCAAATCTACAAGTGATTTTCTTGGTTCTAACCATGCACTTAAATACTTTTTTCACTAACAGAGAACACTTTATTTATTGTTTGCAGCTGGAGTTCAGATAGATTATAATTATTTTCATATAATTAGTATATTGTTTATCATAATCACATACCGATTCAGATTACGTGATAAAAAACAGCCCTATTTCATATTATCATATCGGATGAGAAAGTCATATGATCATGAAGTATGGTGGGGTAGCGGAGTAAAGCCCTGACTTGCCATTGGCCACGTGGGTACAATTGAAGCGCATTTCCAGTTCACCATGAGTCGGAGATATTGCAGAATATGCTACCCATGCACTCAGTAAGGATCATTGCGTATCTCTCCAGCTGTTTTAAAAGCAAATGGGGGCAGTCGGGTAGCCTAGTGGTTAAAGCGTTTGCTCGTCACGCCGAAGACCCGGGTTCGATTCCCGACATGGGTACAATGTGTGAAGCCCATTTCTGGTGTCCCCCGCCGTGATATTGCTGGAATATTCCTAAAAGCGGCGTAAAACCATGCTCAGGCAGTCAGTAAAAGCAAATGTCGGAACCATCTGTCATTGCAAAGTGGACAAAATGATAAATTCGAAATTGAGCAGTTCTACTTAAATACATCCATAATCTGATGTGTAGAAAGAGAGGGCTAATAAAAGACAACAGGGTGCAAAGATGATTGAACGGATGGAATAGCATGTTGGTATGTCAGAAGTGATTCTTCTCACAAGTATAAGTTGGAATGGAACACAATCAGTGAAGTCTCCACACATGTCAAACTGAGACCTTTTTTTTACATTAAACCTACAATATTGTTCTGCTTGAAATTCGTGCATAAAAAGGGTCTTCATTCTTACAGTTTTATACAATGCAAGTGTGAAACACATATGTTGCAAAATGACAGGGAAAATGATAGGTTATTTTAAAAAATCAATAAACCAATGATTGGCCAATTAGTTTGTGCACGGCCTGACAAATAAACTTCATTTGAGATAGTTGGGAGACATAATATGCAATATTAAAATGGAATATAATTAAGCAGATTCTTTTATACTGACATTTGAGAAATACTGATGGGGGAGTTTATTCGTTTGTCCATTATTTCGAAGCTTAGATTACCAACAGGAATTGAAATTCAGTGAAGCCATCCCATAAAATGCGTCAGTTATTGTCTTTAACACCATTACATTTACCATGAAAAACGGCTGTTTGGACAGATTGGGGATGTCGAATAACAGTATATACTTATATTACTCGAACGCATAGAAATAAATTGTCCACATAAAGAATGACTCTCCACATAATACATGTCGAAAATATTGACTAAGGGCTGAATGTTAGCTCATATCATGCGCTCATATCATGAAGATCCTGGCATTAACTCACTCTACTCACCAACCTGCATTATCCTGTAAGATGATGCCACCTGCTACACAATTTGTTCACATAGAATATAAACTGTGAACCCTCACCTGAAATGAATGTACTTGAAAGTGCATGAAAACTAAACTGACTGTACAAACTATCCTTCTAATAAACTGAAGATCGTCTCTCAACCTTTTTTTCACGACTACATTGTATGTTTATAAGTGAACTTCCAAACTATTGTTATTTCACTCTTCCCCCTTCGTACATGTATATGTAATCATCGCACGCGTATACATAAGCTATTACCAAAATTACGTTTTTGTGATCTTTTTGTGATTTTGCGATTTCTTGTGATCTGGAATCAATGCAAATAAAACCGAGGTATTGAAAAATAAACCCAATATTCTCAGTAAATGATATGATGTTAAATAAACTGTTACAGCTTCTGATTTCAAAGATCTTTAATGAGAATTGTTAATAATGGGATGGGTGATGAGAGTCGGAAAGCCCTAATTTACAATAATGCTCTGAGTGAATACATTTTGCCAAATGTATGACATGTACCACCTGCTGGAACTGGAATACATTATGTCCATGTTTTTGATGCACAAACTGGCAGTGGTTGGGCAGTGGTGAGCACAGGCATCACTATATTTGTACGATAATGTTTCCATGGTTGGTTTAGGAGAACGATTGACTTGTCTTTGCACGTGTTTGTGATCGGTGTGGCAGGATACGCCCACTTCTTTGCACCGCTTCGGCTTTCATCCCACATCAATCAGATACTCAGTGACATAACTGAAATACTGTTCAAAGTTATGTTTATTTATTATGTATATTGCGTGTGACTGCAACCCTCAAAATTATGTTGTTGTTGTTTCAAGCCACACTAAGCAATAAATAATTTTCGAGTCTGGACCAGACAACTTCCCAATTTGGAGACGATGACATGCATCAACCAAGTCAGCACGCCTGAGCACCAGAGTCAGTTTCCTAATGGCACGATCAAAGGTTTCCCCAAGAAAAACAGGTGTCTATGGATAATGTGCAGACCTGACTTGTGCACAGTTAGCCGATGTGTTGTGCAAGGAATTAACTTTACCAATCCAGAGAGTGATATTGTGGAGCGACACTACAACTGTACTTGCTTGCCTGGATCCAGAATCGTGTAGATACAGAGTATTCGTTGGAACTCGAGTATCAGAAATCCAGAATCTTACAGACGTACACAACTGGCGATATGTTGACACAGGCATCCTGCCGATGACATTACTTGAGGAAAACTGCTCTGAGAACTCATGAAGGAATCGCAGTGGAGAGATGGGCCATATTCCTAAGATCAGACACATGATCATTGGCCAGTTACCCCAGCGACAATAGACTATGACAATACAGAGATAAAGAAAGCTGTTATGTGTGGCACAGTTGTTGTGAATACACCTCAGCTGCCAGATGCAGAACGGTACAGTACACTTCCTGGGAAGTGAATGTGGCTGATGTTAAATAGTCCCTTGACGAGGCGGCCTTGTCGGAATACGCTCAGCCTTTGACTGCTGAACGGTTTGAACAAATGGAGAACCATCTCTATAAGCTAGTGCAAACACAGTCATTCCCCCAGAAATTCACAGCTTTATATTCGATTGCGTCAAGAAAGACTCCTCGAGCTTGACCCTATTTATGATGCAGAACCAGACCTGATCAGATTAGGAGGACGCTTACAGAGAGCAGAGATCACATTACAGGCACCCCAAATCCAATTCTTCTTGACCCACGACACGTCATAAAGCTGATCATCAAGGATCAAGATGAGAACTCTTTCACTATGGAAAGGAGTGTATGTGTCACATGTCAGAAATGGCGCTCAAGACCTAGGACACAGAAAATGTCTGAATTGCCACCACCACGTCTGCGACTTTTCAAACCACCATTCTTTTCAACAGGAATTGACTGCTTTGGACCAATGTATGTAAAGGTCAGTGGTTGCTCGGTAAAAAACGCTGGGGTTTGATGTATGAGTGTGTCAGTTGGGTTTAACGCCGCTTTTAACAGTATTCCAGTTATAATCACGGCGTGTCAGCTTAATGCGTGAGGAAAGCCTGAAGTGATGCAGGTCTCAGACGTTTACAACGTAGGTAACACCCACGAGCACGGGTATGGTGCTGACAAACATGGAAACATAATCGGAGTGAACCGGGATTCGAACCCACGATGATAGGTTTCTAGCGTACCCAAGGGATTGATGTATGACTACCCGTGGACTGCATTTAGACCTAATTACAGGCATGGACTCGGATACATTCCTCATGGCATTTGCCGCTTTGCTTCACTGAGAGGCATACTTTACGAACTTATCTCAGACCATGGTTCCAATTTCCGAAGTTGCAGGAGGCACTTGCAAGTATGGAACCAGACCTTGGTGGACAACTGGCTGGACATAAGGTCCGATTTGTGTTCAATCCTCCTAATGCACCACACTTTGGAGGTGTTTGGGAAAGAGAGATTAAATATGTGAAATAGGGCTTCCGAGTAGCACTAGGAGAGCAGACAGTGACAGAACCTGTGTTACGGACCATATTAGCAGAGGTGGCAGGGATTCTGAATTCTAAACTGTTAGGCTACGTTTCATCTGATGTCAGAGTTGTAGACCCAGTTGCATCAAGCATCCTGCTGACTGGCAGCCATGATGCTTCTCTTCCACAAGTTGTCTATCCAGCCGATGAACTATTAAGCAGACGCAGATTGCATCATAGTCAAGCTCTTGCCGACCACTCCTGGGTACACTTTATCAAATATTACCTTCCTGATCTGCAGTGGCAGAAAGAAAGACAAAACTAGAAGTTGGATGACGTTGTCATATGTTCGCACTGCCACTGTTAGTGTGAAAGACAAGCAGTACACCAGACCAATCATAAGACTCATCCCACTAACTGAATGTGCTGATGAAGATAATTGACTCCAGTTCCAGTGTGGGAAGACTTTCTTCAGACATTAACAAATTTAGTGCCAAAATTTGGGGGCGACCATGTCAGAAAGCCTTTTTAGCCCAAATGTCTGTTATTTCGTTAAACATTTTTTTTTATACTCAATTGTTTTTCCTTCACCATTCTGAAATTTCCATATGTACCAAAATGGCAGCCTCTAGCCAGGACTGTTGACCATGTGCACGACCAACAGACATGTCTTTTATGTTTAAAACAACCTATTTCCATTACGAACCACCAACCCTTACCCGTGCATCAAAGCACCGTGTTTTCAATTACATTTAATATCAAGGCTAGTGCTCCATTAATAATGGTGCAACATTAGTCAAATTGCACGTACACCATCAGGTGAATGTTGGGATCTAAGGACTACTTTATATGTTAGATAGAACCATCCATTTCCCCATTACTTCCATTTTAATGAAGTACGATTTCCAAATTTCTTATGTTTTGTTTTAAACCTAATAATATAGTTTCAATTTCGATATTGGTGTAGAGATAGTTTGGTTCTTCGTGAACAAAATATCACGAAAATATATTGTCCCTATCCACATCAAATCTAACCACAGTTCGCCCCGATTATGTTTCTAGGTTTGTCAGCACCATATATACCCGTGCTCGTGGTAAACTGAGACCTGC